AAATGCAGGATTTCGTGTGAGCACTGAGGAAGTAGAAGCTACACTCATCATTCTGATGGATCTTTCCAAACTGGATGCCCAGAAGACAGCATCCTCGAGGGACTCACCAACACGCCCACAGGAATTCTGGTTCCCTGCCAGGATGTGAGGTGCTGCAGGGCGGAGGTCTCTACACAGGATCAGCATCATAAGGATCAAGAGCCACTGCTTAGCTAATGAGTTTTGTTCAAAGCCAGCAGAGCAGGCCAGGGCATGAGAGCCCAGGGAGGGCAAACAGGCAGATTGGGGTCACTGGGCACCACAAGCCTCTTGGCACATCTTTGGGCTGAGTGCACCTGATGTCACCATTGCTACACAAGTCCCACCTGTGTGAGTGGGGCCGGGGAGTGGGAAAGGGAGGAGACCCAGAAGGAACAAAGCATCTTCCCTGAAGCGGGAAAGAGGCTTGTGGGGCTGAGCACCTGAGAGGGCCTAGCTGTGTGTCAGCAATGAGGGAGCGGGGTTCATTCTCCTTTGGTGAGTAACATGGGCCTGGCCCCGGTTAGGATAGGAAGTGGAGTCTTGGAGGGGTGCAATCAATTGCCCACTTCATGCCATCAGGGCAGAGGGGAAAGTTCCATGTGCTGCAGCACCAGTCATGCTCAGCAAATCCAGAAGTGTACACACACATACAAATGAATGTGTTTCCACCCCTTGTTCTCATGTATACACCCACATGAATCAGTGTGTGCCTCAGGGGCGCAGTGTGTGAGTGGCTGTGTGTGAGGGTGAGCATGAATACTGCCTGCTACATGGGAAAGCCTGTGTATGTGTGGCCCATGTAGCTTGCTGAGTGTGGCAGTGTGTAACTACCTAGAGTTGAGTGTGTATGTAATCACATGCAGAGAGAGGTGTTACTGCCAAATTACAGAGACATCCCAGGATTCCACCGAAATACCAGGTGAGCATGGTCATGGAGAGGCTCTGGAGGTCTGGGGGCCCTGTCATGGAGGGGTTCCCTCTTCTCCAGGGTCCAGACATATCTTCAGAGGACTCTGGCTGGGATCAGGGGCAACCAGCAAACCACACTCCCAGCCTGCATGCAGGTGCCACACCCTCAGTGCAAATGTAGGGCTGTGTGAGCTGGTGGGGCAGGGCTAAGGTGATGCCACCATGATGGTGGAAATGCCCTGGCATCTCTGTCACAATTCCTAACAAGAAAGAGGCTTTGAACTTTGCTGCCAGTGGTGGTGGCCAGAGGCCAAGGCCACAGTATCGTCAATATTGACTGAGGGGTCATTGCCCAGGCAGAGCCTGTCATAGGCAGGTGGAAAGCCTTGGGGCTGCTTTTGCTTTTCCCTATAAAGAAGCTTTCTGGAGGCTGGGTGGAGGCTGAAGGGTGGATTAGGACAAGCCACCTCACCCACTGGGAGCCAGAGGTGCAGGCCCTAGCACCCACAAGCTTGTCAAGGCCTATTCAAACGTAAGAGGCTGAGAAACAGTGATTGACATTAAAATATCAAAAAGAGAAACTGCAAAACTGAAATTAAGAAATGCTATAATTAATGCATTTATACTTGATTAATTATTAAATTTAGAAGTCAAAACAATTTTATTACACTTGAACTCCATTTGCAGGCTCTGTTCCCTCATTGTGCCAGAATTCTCCAGTGAGCACGCCACTCTCAAGAAATCATGGCCAATTGTTAAAGCCTTGTAGTCAAACAATTGACCAAGCAAGTTAGAAAGATTCTTGCAAAGTTTTCACAGCAAAAATAATTCCTATTTAATAGGGGAGTGCAGTTACATTTTGTTTTGATATATTGAGATGGGATAGGGTCTCCAAGATCAAGCCTGGGACAGGATTTAGGGCTACAACTGAGAAGGGGCTAGTCAGGTAAGGAATGGGACCACCTGGTATTAGGAAGGCCATGCCTGGCAGGCACACTGTATGCCTGGCCACGAGCACCCTCACCAACACCTCTGTGAATGTATAGTGCAGTGTTGTCTCAGGTGGGAACTGTGGGTGCTACAATCAGTGGCTAAGGGGAAAACACCATAGTCACAATAAGCCTTAGAAATCTCTTAGAGTGATCCCATGCTGAAGTGGGACACCTCATTAAGTGCTATACAGTAGGTAATCTGACATTAGTATGACAGAGTCCTGCTGATGAGGTGCAGATGCATAGTAGTTGGCTTGAGCTTGTGGGTGATACTAACACTTAATTACTAAAACCACCTTCTGTGCAGCGAGATGCTCTGAGGGCAAAAGTTACCCAGGGATGAAAATCCAGCATATGCTGACTGGAGAGGGTACAAAATACCCAGCACTGCTTATATTGCCATTCTTCTTAGTTTTCTACTTTTCTTTTTTAGACACTAACTGGGATTTTGCTCACCAACCATAGTCTTGATGCCTACCCACTCTACTAAGGCAGCTCACAGAAGCCAAGGCCTTGGTCAAGGTCAATCTGTTGTCCTGATCTCATTCACAGCCTTTGTCCTGAAGTCTTGCTCTTTTTGTCCCTGTTGTTTGGCTGCAGATGGACAACGGGCCACAGGGGCCTGGTATTTGGGAGCTCATTGTCCAGTTGGCAGATGTGAGGGTCATGGGGACAGCCTGGAAGAAGGAAAGAGGAATTTACAGTATTTCATCATTGGCCAGAACTCATGACTCCTCACAGAAATCTTGCAAATTCAGTGCTGTTGTCTTTGCTTCCCAGGAGAAGACACTGAGTTTCAGAGAGGTGAGGGCATCTGCCTGGCGAGGGAGTAGGTACAGGGTCAAGACCCTGAGAAACCTTTTGGAACTCCTTACTGTTCATCATCTGAAGGGCAGAAGCTGAATTAAGTTTTCAAGGCTCTCTCCAACCTACCCAGACCCCTCTACCTTTAATGCCCAACCCAGGCCCACTCCTACACCCTCATCAAAGCCCAGTCTGTCCATCAGGCCAGAGGAAAGTCTCCTTGCTTCCTCTCCCACCCTCTTAACACAAGTACTCCATCTTGAGGATCTCTGTGTCTTTCTCCATGCCGCTCCTTCCCTTCTGTGCAGCAAAATCCATCTCTTGCCTTTTGAAGGCACAGTGGGCCCTCCTTTCCCAGGGTATCATTTCTTTGTGCCCCCTTCGTCGCACACTGTGAATGCAGCTTTGGGCAGCAGAAAACCAGGGACACTCCTAGTTTTGGAGGAAAAGAATCTCATATTTATATTTTAAATTAATGTGAACATGATCCAGATTACCATACAGCATAGGTCTGTCTTCCATATACTTTTTGTGGTTTATGTTACTTTTATTCCTAAACTATATTTTGAGGGCACAAGTTTCCTGATAATCATTTGAGCACTTAAGCTCCAAGAAGTTCCAGCTTCTGTCCAGAGAACCTCCAACCTAGTCCTGTGACTGTTTATGCATTGCTTTAGAGGACCCAGTCTTGTGACCACACAGGCTGCACTGGTTTGGAGGATGGATCTAGATCTGGCCCACAAGTGACATCTTAGTATCCACAGTGGCTCAGTGAAGATCTGTGTCTGGAGGAAGCTCAGAAGCTGGAGGTGGTTGAGAAATGGTGAGGGGTAAGGGGCCACATCTGGAACAGAAGGCCAGGAGCCAGGCAAAGAGATCAGAAAACCGGAGGCCTCTAGTTCAGTCTTGAAATCGGCATCCGAACCAAGCAGGCAGAGGCCAGAGGGCAGCTTGCCAAGATGACACTGGCATCTCTTTTGGAATGTGGAGTTGAAGAGGCCCTCGCTTTTCAACTATTCACTGCAAGGTGCAAAATAATCCATTGCGGAGGTCTGCCAGCTCCAAGGGCTTGGCACAACCAGGCCTGTTCTCATTGTAACCCCATATCATTGCCCTTAAGGCTCACTATGGTCTGATGATGCAGGTCTTATTTCTATTCCCATTTTTCAGATGAGGAAACTGAAGTTCAGAGAAGTTAAACCATTAGCTCTAGGTCTCAGCTGGTGAGATCTGGCTGTTCTGAATCTGTCATAATCCTATCTGCCTCACTGAACCTGAGGCTGGCCAGGGGCTTCAGTCAGTGGGCCTGATTTCCAGATCATGGGCCAAGGAGGAAAGATGGACTCTGGCCTCACATGCACTTCTTTTAAAGGAGACAAACAAATTATACTGGTGCTGGCCTGGCCCAGGCTGACTCCAGCCAGGAAAGGGAAGCATGGCCTCTGAAGGCCTCTAGGAGGCTGCTGTGGGGGTGGAGAATGCATTGTTATCGGAATCCTATGGGCACTGCAGCTGGAAGGGGAATTTCCAGGGCCTTTCGGTTGGGGTGAGAGGATGGCAATGTGCAATTCCGCAGGTCAGGGAGGGCAGCAAGCAGGCAAGCTGCCACTCTTAGGGCACAGATCTTGATAGGAGCCTATGCATGGCTTCCAGGTGGCCTCTCCTGCCCTCTGTAGGCAAAGTTCTGTTGGTGGATCCAAGCATATTTTTCTGAGGAGGAGATCTATAGCTTTGCCTAGGACATAGTCTATCTCACTGATTGAAAGCATGACTTCTAATTTCAGAAAGACCTCCGTTCAAATCCTGATTCTTCCCTTAATAATGGCATGGTTATTTATAATGTCAGTGAAAATCAAGACTCCTGTCTGCTTTTTCCAGACAAGTGAGAAACCTGAGATCCAGAGAGAGGAATCACATGCCTGCCCTACACAGCCTGTCTGTGCTAGGACTGAGGCAAATTATTAATAACCTACTCCCCAAACCTCAGTTTCCTCATCTGCCAAATAGAGAGAATGAAATTTCCTCAGATGGCCAGGATGTGCTAAGTTCCTGGCACAGTGGAGGCTTCAGTGCTTATAACTTCCCTCCTTACCCCTTTTGCTTGCAGCAGATGCCCACGTCTGCTGGAAGAGATGTGTGATTGGTGCGGGTACTTTATCTGGCAGTTACAAGTGTGACATTATCCCTCCACAAAGCCTTCATTATGGTGCTGCTAACAATACCACAGATAAAGCAGAGATGCCCCCGCATGCCAGCCTCCAGGTGATTATAACATTTGGGTAAATTGCCTTTTGTCTCGCTGGAGAGATGACAGGAGGAAGCTATGCAGGAGACTCCCACAGCCATTTTGCAGAAACCGCAAGGGAGGTGCGGTGAAGAGGGGGCCTGGGTTCTCAGAAAGAGCTGTGGCTGGCAGCAGTAAACTGGAATTTCTCCTCAGCCACAGGCAGGCTGTGTGGGGCAGGCATACGATCTCCTTCTCTGGATCTCAGGTTTCTCTCACCTGGCTGGAGAAGGCAGACAGGAGTTTTGATTTGTCACTGACATTCAGAGACTTGTTCACTGGCCAGTCTTTTGTTTGCTTGCTTTGGAGGTGCTGGGGATGAAACCCAGTGCTTCCTGCATGCTGGCAAGTGTTCAGCTGTGGAGCTACACCACCAGGTCTCTTGGCCAGTGTCTGAGTAATAAAGTGGCCAGAGAACTGTCTTGGGCAAACAAGCCACCAGTGTCATCCTACACGCTTTGCGTCTATAATTTTTATCCCTGTTATCATTGTTATTTTACTTGTTCATCTGAAGTAGAATATGGATACACTTGAATATCAATAGATCAATTTCTCAACTGCTGTTCTTAATGCTGCATTGTATTTTATTGTAAAAATATATCTTACGCAATTTAACCAGTTCCTCCTGTTGGGCACTTGGGATGTTTCCTGTTTTTTTTTTTTTTTAACCAGGAATTGAACTCATGACCTTGTGCTTGCCAGGCGTTGTGACGCTAAGCTATATTCCCAGCCCTGTTTCCAGTTTTCAACTGTTTAAACAATGCCAGAAAAACTTTAGAAGACCAAAGTGGTCTTTTGTTTCCAGGTGTTCACTCAGCAGTTTAGATGTCACCCGTTCTAATGTTAGCTGGGAAGCAGATAAAACATCAATGTTTGGGGGCTTCTCACCTCTGCTCTGTTGGATAGATGACCCTGGAGCAGGCCAGGCAAAATGGAAAGAGGAAAAACCTCAGGAGGCAAGTGAGACAATATGAATTCTATTCCAGCCAAATTTCCTGGGGGAAATTCTTTAACTTCACTGAGCCTTAATTTCTTCCTTTGTCAAAGCAGGCTCACCCGAGGACTCCCTTTCTCTCCAGTGGAGTGTCTCATGCATGATAATTCTCATCATCTTCATCTTCCTGCTCTTCATCCTGGTGAAGCCAGCCCTGCCCTCCCTCCCAAAGTGTCAAATCATACAAGCTGGGTCACTTTTCAGACCTCAATTCACACCCCTTCTTCCTACTGTCCACTTAATGGAGTATGCATTCAAATGAAGCGGTCTTGATTTTAAATTCTGCCTGGAATCCACAGGTTCAAGCGCAAAAGGGCCCTCTCTGCAAATAATCACTGGTGTGTGATATTTTTAAGAAGCCAAAGCCATTGTTTCTGATTGAAGGAAAGTTGGTGCTATTTTGAAGAGCAGCACGATTAAGCGGTGGCGTTATCTCTGTAACCATTGGGAATTATATGCTGTTTGAAAGATTTGTGAGCTCTAGGACATTTGCCAGATGTGCTTGATTCGACATTTCAGACAACAAAGGGGATAATGTTGGCGGGAATCTTGACAGCATTTCTGATGATCAGGATATTCTTTGAGGATGGTACTGAGACCTTTTGGGGAAGAATTTCAGCTTTTACATAAACTAATTTGGGATGCTCACTCTCTGTCTTCCACAAAGCAAATTTAGTTCATTGTTAGTTGTATATGTTAAAGTGGTTACAAGGGTTTTTTTTCTTTGAATATTAATAATGTGCCTTTCATCTGAGACACTTGCATGGGGTATCATTAATTGGGAGGAGGGAGTAAGGATTAGTGGTACAGTTATTTTGCAAATGATTCCTACTAGGAACACTGAGGCAAGCAACAGCTATGTGAAAGAGATACACACATAAACAGCCAACATGGCTCTAGCTTATCCTTCCTGATAGGAATGAAACGGATATGTGGGAAGGGTTAATCTCCAATTTCCCATCATATTAAAGGTAATTATCCCACATATCTTCAAATGCTTTCTTATTGGCTCAGTGTATAAAAGACCCTCGAGATAGCGTCTTGTTTTGGGTACTGTGGTGTTTTTTGTCTTTAGTGTCTAAAATGAACCAAACTGGAAGACCAAACTGCCTCGATCACAAGCCAGAAAGCCAAGCACAGGGATTGAGACTGAGGTCTCACAGTTACCTTTGATGACTTGTTCTGAGAACCTAGAGGGCTTCCAGAAGGCTCCACTTCCAAAAACGCCAATAGTGCCCCTTGGGGATCAAGCCTTTGGGGGATACTGCCCATACTCAAACCACAGCAAAAAGGTTTTGGGGAAGATTTGGGTTTGACTCAGATTTAGTTACTAGCTGTGCGATCACGACAAAGTTGTTAACTTCTCTGAGACCACGTACTGTGAGCACATGAGATAAGCTGGTAAAATGCAAGGATCCTCCACAGTGGGGTGAGCTTCCTTTGTTTCAGCTTTATCTCTATCGCTGTGAACATACAAGCAAAGCCACACATTTTTCTTGATGCTTATAGGCAAAGACTTCGTGCGTTTCTGTTATTTGCTGCACACTGAGAGATAAGGAGGACTGTGATTGTAGAGATAAGAGGAAGGGCATTCTGTGCTGGGGAGTAAGTGAGAGGAGAATAAGGAATAAAAAGTGCTGGATGTATCTACCAGTGGACGGCAGCCAGCCTGGCTGGACAAGAGCAGAGAGAGGAAGAGACTGGAGGGTGGAGATTGGACCTTCAGTGCTCAGCTGGGGTTCTGAACGCTATACGTCAGAGCCTGAAGATCCCACGAAGCTACAGCATTTCATTTCCCAAGCAAATTCTCCTGCAGAGGCAGAAAGACTGCATAGATCCAATCATATCCATCTCCCTAGAGACTCCTTGGCACTCAAACACCTAGAGAAAGCAGAACAAGTCCCAGGGTCTAGCTCATTTCTTTCCTCCAGCCCGAGTTAACAATCATCATAATGACAACAACCACAACTTCCAATCACTGAACACCTGTCCTGGTCCAGGTGTTGGGCTATGTATTTTGCATGCTTAATCCATTGTTCCTAACCATAGCTCTTCTAGTTGGGCACTACTGTGATGCCCATTTTACACACAAGTGCAGTTCTGAGAGGCAAAATCTGGTCTGTGGTACATCCAGAAATTGAGGCCAGCCAGAAGTACAGGTTCCAGGGCTTTCCAACTCCACACCATGCTGTCCCTCTGTGACCCCTACGAGCTTTCCAGGCTCCTGCTAGATCAAAGGTCCTAACACAGTCTATGCTTTTGCTTTGTTTGCTGTACTGATTGGAATAGACAACAGCTGCCCCTATTACTTACAGCTTTATGGTCTCGACATGAGTGGGAAGACACTGAACTTGTAGTAAGGTGGGAATGAGTTTGGGTTCATCCATCACACCTGTGCCCTGTGCACATCCCAGGCTGTGTCCCATTCCCAGCTCCCTCTCTGCCTGGTAAATCTGCAGGAGAGCAGAAATGATAGCTATTTCTGGGAGTCAGATAGCAGATAGGGGTGGTGACCTGGGCACTGGATGCCCCACCCACTTGCTCAAACCTAAGCAATTTGAAGAACTGGACCAACCAAAGAAAACCTTTGCATATCAGATTTAGCCTGAGAGCTGCTGGGTTGAGGCCTCTCTTAGCTGTTAAACTGCTTTGAAAACTTGGAGGTGCAGAGAAATATAATGGATTGCTTTCATTATTCAAAGTAATAAGTTGCCATCACCCTGGATCATGATCCTTTTAGGTGGCCCTCTCCACCATCTTACAAAACAATACCACATATTGAATTTTGTATAATTAGCTGAGGAATATGAGGGATGTGCGAGCAGGTGCTTTCCCAGCTTGCTTTTTATTTTACATTTAATTAGCTTCAACTTGTGGGACCTGTGTGAAACGCTGGGGACAGTGATGAAGCAGATATAGTCACAAGGTCCCTGTCCTCAAGCAACTCCTAAACAAAGATATTTTCGCTGTCATGGGCCCCCAGGTGTTGTTAGGGATGCTTGGGGAGTCATAGAGGAGGGTACCTAAGGCAGTGGAGGGTGGGAAGTGGGTCCAGGAAGGCTAGAACAATGGTCTGCCAATCACTGGTCCTGACCCTTAAGCAGGTTGTGAAGTCAGCATATCAACCAGTATTAAAAAAATAAAAGACGTCATAGTATATTTCATATGCAAAAATATGCATATATATATATATATGTGTACATGTCCTTATGTGAATATGGAGTTATGATGTAAAATGCTCTTTCCTCTAGGTCCAAATTTTAGAACCATACTCAAAGGAAGTATGTTGGCTAGTTGAATCTCCTGGCTTGCTGAAGGTACTTAAAACATTTTTGATGGATGACAGGATGGATTAAAATTCTGCTAGCAAGCCCAGCATGTTGGCATGCCCGTATAGTCTCAGTTACTTGGGAGGCTGAGGCAGCAGGGCCTCTGAGCTTTGTAGTCTGAGGCCAACCTCAGTAACATATAGAACCTTGGCTCAAAACAAAAAAACAAGCCAAACTAAAACAAAACAAAATCTCAGCAATCCAGCAAGACAGGTACTGCTTACCTCATTAAGATAGTTTCTAAAATCCAGGTCCAGAAAACCAAGATTTGTCACACATGGCTGCATTTAGCAGCAGCCAGGGCTTAACACAGATTTCTGACTTGGGAGATGAGCCTTTGGGGAATGAGGAAGGAGCTGAGGCGGTACAGAGTGGCCTGAAGGTGAATCAAAGGTGGCACTTCAGTGACTCAAGCTCCAGCCCATGACTTCCTATAAAATACATGACCCACCCAGGTGGCATGTGTTTCATAGTGGCAGAGGCTGAGGCTGCTGGGTCTACTCAGGAATGACCTTAGTCACCCATAAAGGCCCAAGAGCCAGCACCCATGCCTTCGGGATGCTAACCGGAAGCACTGTTTATAGGATTGGAATCCACTGGGAGAAGTGGCTTGAAAATGACAAGGTAGAACGAAGTGCAGATCAGCCCCTCATATGGAGTGAGTCAGGGGTAATAACTAGGTGGCCACAAACAGAGAGTCCCTTTTAGTGGTTTTCAGGGCACTCCGAACTTGGTCCTTTCTATAATACCAAGACCAAAATACCTCTTGCCTACCTTTCTCCTCCATTATAGACTCTTAAATGTAGAAGAACCCTAGAAATTATCCAGCCCACTCCCTCTTTTTACAGATGAACAGAAGTGGCCCCGAAAGGGAAGGCACTGGCCCAGGGTCAGCTGGCAGGCAGCCTGAGTGGGGGCCAGGACTTGGAACCCACATCGCTTATGCCATCACCCTGGGTCATGATCCTTTTAGATGGCCCTCTCCACCATCTTACAGAAGGATCTCCCCTACCTAATCTTACCCCTTTGGTCATTTCTCTACATATACACTAGAGAAATTTCTTTAAAGGAAAAAATCAGTTACTGTGTATTCTGGTTTGGATCTGAAACGTCCCCTAAAAGTTCCTTTATAATAGCAATGCTTAGAGGTAGAGTGATTGCATCATGAGGGCTTTGACCCCATCGATGGATTAATCTATTGATGGGTTTACAATTTGATGGGCTATTGGGAGATGATGGAAATTTAGGAGGCGGGTGGGATCTAGTTGAATGAAGTGAGTCTTTGAGGGTATGCCCATGGGGACAGTGTCTCCTTCCCAGTCCCTTCCTCTGTCTGTCTCCATCTCTACCCTCTCCCCTGCTTGTTGGCTGTCTTAAGGGGAACAACCTCCACTACAACCATGATGTTCTGCTTTGCCTCAGGCACAATAGCAGACCGTGGACTGACACCTCTAAACCTGTGAGCCAAAACAACCTTTCTTCCTTTCAGATGATTGATGTCAGGTATTCTGTCACAGCAACAGAAAGCTGACTAACACATTATGCTACCTGCTTAAAACTTTCCCTTGCTCCTTATGGCTTAAGGGTTAAAAGCCCCCCATAATCTTACCTACTGCTCTAAGCCCCTGTCTGCCTCTCAGCTTCCTCTCTTATTCTTCCTTTAACACATCATTGGCTTATGCTCCTGAAAGGTTCTCACCCAGTGCTCAGCCTTTTGTACATATATTCCCTTTGCCTCTAGCACTCTTCTCCACTCTGCCCTACTGTTCAGGTTTCAGAGTAGATCTAATTTTTTTCCAGGCATCCTCTCTGACCTGCTGTCCTCCAGGGCTAGTATCCTGAGTTCTCTAGTAGCAACTCTGTAGTAGTATGATTCATTTTACTGTCATTTCTCTTGCTCTCTGAAAGAAGATTCAGTGACACTGCTGCAGCCTCCATATTTAACATGGAACCAACCCACAGCAGGTACTCAAGAGACATCTGTTGACCAAATAGTCATCAGTGTCTGTCCTCTAAGTTTCCTAAGAATGGCCTTCCCTTCCTGTGATTTTTTTTTTTTTCAGTACTGGGAGTTAAACTCAGGGGCATTGTACCACTGAGCTACATTTCCAGCCCTTCTTATTGTTTTATTTTGAGGTCTTGTGAAGTTTCTCAGATTGGCATTTTTAAGTTTGTTACCAAGCATGGCTTCTTTTGCCTGTGGGATCCTGAAAACCAAAGTTCCTGGTTCCCTTGTCATGAAATGTCTTTTCAGGCCTCTGTCTTTGCACATGTGGTTCCCTCTGCTTGGAATGCCCAACATTCCTGTTCGTGAAACCCCTATTCATTCTTTAAGACCCATCATGTTGGTTTCCTTTTTGCTGATTGACACCCTCATTCCCAGCCAGGTGATCACTTCCCTTTCCTCAATATCCCCTTATTAACCGGGCTCTCCTCCACCATGGTTCATATTGCATTACATTACAATTGCATATTTCTGTGTTTGGCTTGACCAAGAGACAGTGAACCTCTCTGGGACCAGGATGACACCTCAGAGAGGCAAGATTACAATACAGTTCAAACCTAAAAAGCTGGATGTGAATCTTTTCTATTGCACTGCTATCAAAGAAAGATTTTACTATCCCAGAACACCTCAGAATGTATTCCATGGGGCCTTAGTTCCTTAAAATGCTCCTGTTCCTCCACCTTCTGACTAATTTCATGGTCAAATGCATCTGGATAGTAGAATAAGTATGTCTCCCTTGGTTCACTCCTTCACTCCTTGGTTAATTTGCTTCATATATGGTTTTTCTTTCTTTTGCAGTGCTAGGAACGGAACCTAGGACCTCATGCCTTCTAAGCAAGTGCTCCACCACTGAGCTGGGGATGTAGCTCAGTGGCATAAGCGCCTGCCTGGCAAATGCAAGATTCTGAATTTGATTCCTGGTACTCCTCCTGACCCCCCAAAGCAAAATGCTTCACCACTGAGCTACACCCCAAAACCTTGTTTCATATATACTTATTATCTACTGTGTTAGGTTCATGGTTAGTATAGAATTTTTGCTTCTTGTCCTTCAATTTTGAATTTTATTACTTTGAAAATTATAGTTCTTAAGGAGAAAGGTCTAATCAAGTGACAAAATCATCTCAGTGAAATGGAAGAAGCAGCAGCACCTGGCCATGTTGGATTCTTAGGTCACTGAAGCAACAAGCAAAGAAGATACCATCCTGTCTGGGGTGATTGTTCCAGATTGCTAAGGAAACTGCGTTGCTACTATTTGGTAGAGAAAAGGAGATGCTGTATAAACCCAGGCTGCCCCTTAGTACTTCCATCATCAATAGTTAAAGCTGATACAAAATGCAGCCAACCAATCAAACATTTGGTTTGGATAATTTTGGCAGGACTAATACAAAATCAGATCCTTCAAGAATGAAGGTTTAGGACTGGGAATTTAGCCCAGCGGCAAGTGCGAGGTCATGAGTTCGATCCCAGGTACAAAAAAAAAAAAATGAAGTTTTGAAGGGCTGAGGGGAGAAGGAACCCTTCTCCTCCACTGTTGGTGGGAGTGTACACTGGTGCAACCACTGGAAGTCAGTGTGGAGTTTCCTCAAAAAGCTAGGATTAGTAGTCCTATTCGACCCAGCTATCTTGCTTCTGGGCATTCTCCCAGAATAACTGAAAATATCATACCACAGTAATGTATGTACACCTATGTTTATAGCAGCACAATTTGTAAGAGCTAAATCTTGGAAACTACCCAAATACTTATCAACCGATGGAGAAAAAAAGATATGGTATTTTTATACAATGAAGTACTACTCAGCTATATAGAAGGATCATATTGAGGCTTTTATAGGTAAATGGGTATGACTTGAGACCATACTCATAAGTGACATAAATCAGGCTCACATGTACAAGTATCTTATTGTCTCCATAGTGTAAGAAATGAAAAGAATAAATAAGATCCAAAATGTACAATAGATATTGTGAAAGAATAAGGAACTGCTCAAAGGGGAAAAATAACTGGAATAGGGGAAAGGAGAAAAGGAAGAAAGAAAAAAGAGCAGATACAGATTTACATATATATATATATATATATACATAAGATAGCTAAAATTATTATACTAATTCTATTGGGTCTTAGAAAAGAACAGTTAATACTCATGATTTGATCATTTTTGCATCTATATCTGGTAATAATCTAATTCTTTTGAAGATAATAATGTGAGAGTTGAACCCCCTGCTATAACCCCCTCCCCGAGTTATAAAAAGCAGCAAAGAATGTTTCACTCCCTAACTCCCCAGAGCGGGGAATGAAAGGGTTAACTCCCTAACTCCCCAGAGCTATCAGAGCAGAGCAGAAAAAAAATGCCTAACTCCCCAGAGCTATCAGAGCAGAGAAAAAAAAAGAAAAAATGCACCTGCAAGGTTGTTCTGTCTCAACGAGATAAATAAGACAAGTAACTGTTCTGTTCTGGGCACATAGTGACTGGGCTAGGACCCCCAGTCTCCATGGTTACTCAACCCCAAACCCCTCCAATCAACTTCTGCCAAATCCTATGCTGCTCAAAATTAACCAATGCAATCTGCTTCTGTAAACTCGCTTGCCTCCCGTTTGCGCCCTTAAAAACCCTACACAATTCCCCCTCGGGGCCCTCCGCACTTGTTTGCCTGGAGGACCCCATGCGCATGGAAATAAACTTTTTTCCCTCACCAAGAGTTGAGTCCTTGGGGTCTCTTTCCCTGCGGCGTCGGCCCTAACATCTTGGAGGCCCTAGCGAGATAACACGTCTCACGGGAGGTGACCTCAACGGCTCTGCGGTGGGTGAGTACGACTGGTCGCTTCTTATTTTTACTCTGAGGATCAATCTACCGGTATTTTACGCCCCGAGCCAACCGGGCAATTTTTGTTACCTGTTTTTGTTATCTGTTCTCTGTTCTCTGGTGACCGGGGGACGCCCCACACGGTTTTCCGTGACTCACCATTTGCGATAGGATTTTCCTATCGGTTTGGGGAATTTCATTCCCAATCTGTGGTCCGTCCGGGCCAATTCGGAGACACCCTCTGAGGTGACTCGTTCGGGGAATTTCATTCCCAATCTGTGGTCCGTCCGGGCCAATTCGGAGACACCCTCTGAGGTGACTCGTTCGGGGAATTTCATTCCCAATCTGTGGTCCGTCCGGGCCAATCTGGAGGCACCCCCTAAGGTGACTCGTTTGGTGTGAAACTAATGCGTGAGAGTGAGGTGGCCGGCCTGTTTGTCCTGTGTGTTGTGACTGTTGTGAACGGTTATTTGTTGTGTCGCGTGTACGCTAACCACTCTTTGTCTTCAGAACATCATGGGACAGACGACATCGTCCCCATTGTCCCTCAGCCTCAACCATTGGTCAGAGGTTCGAGAGAGGGCTCACAATCTCTCCTTACAGGTTAAAAAAGTAAATGGCAGACTTTCTGCTCGTCTGAGTGGCCCACATTCTCCGTGGGTTGGCCACCGGAGGGGACTTTCCACCTTCCCCTCATCTTAGCAGTTAAGAACATCATCTTCTGCCCTGGACGAGAGGGCCACCCCGACCGGATCGCCTACATCTTGGTATGGCAGGACCTCAGGGAGGAGCCCCCACCGTGGGTAAAACCCTTCCTTCCTCCGCCCTCTCCTTGATTGCCTGTTTAAACTTGTTACTAACTTAGGGGCTTGTTGCCCATTTCTGTTGTAGGATCCATATGGCTTATTAGATTAAAGGTTCATGATAAAAAAATTATTTCCTTTAGCTGACCAAACTATGCAAGAAGCTCCCTTTGTTTGTGTCTTTAATGTTATGGCGCCTTGTTTAATATGTAAGACTTCAATTGATTGCTTGCAACCTCAACATGACTTTTAAAAGGAGTATTTTTTTCTCTCTGGTAAAAATATAAACATGTGCACATATATATATATCTATGGTTGTTAAGAGTCATGCCAACTTTGCCAAGTAAAAACCAGGCGGTACTATATTTGAGCCAGTTAAAAGGTTACAGTTTTGTTTTTAAAATACAGCATTTTTATGTGGTAAAAAGACATAAAATAAGTATGTTTTGGACTACTAAAAGGTGACTTCAAGGGTTTTGTTGAGAGTTTTGATGTTGTCTGAAAAATGAAAAAAAAGGTAATTGACTGATAATAATAAAAAGAGGGACAAAGAGAGTGGTCTTCAAGTAAAGGTGTCTGGCTATGCCAGAATGTGAAAAAAGATCAAAGCTTAGTTTGAGAGGTATTATTGTAAGTTGTAAAAGGCTCAAGAGGATGTGAATTTTATTTGTCTTGGTTTATAGTACTACAAATAACAGGTTTGACAAAAAGTAAATGTGTTCAAAATTTGACAGTATTAGATCAGTTTTGGTAAAAGTATACATAAGATTGTACTTTGCTGCAAAATGTTTTCATTAAAATGAGATTATAGGTGATACTAAAAATAAGATACAAATTCTTACATGTGCTGTAAACATCTGGGAGATTATACAGCACAATTTTGTTACCTGTGAAAAAGCCCTTTTTGTTAAGAATATAATTTTAGTAAAATGATGGCCTGCCATGTGACACCCTTGGACAAAAAACAGTGTGCCATCCAGATAAAGCCGGCACTCTGATCCGGAATGCCAAAACCATGTTCTCCTTTTGTGCCACCCTGACTGGACATCCAGAGGTAAGGAGGTTTCCCAGTATCGCCAGTTGTTCTCTTTGTAACTCAGTCGGCCCCACATGTTAGACAAAAATTACAAAGGTTTGAGAGGTTTAAAAAAATGCCCCTCAGCCAGTTAATAGAGATAGCACAAAAAGGTCTTTAAAAACTAAAAAATTTACAAAAAGATAGCCAAGATGTTAAAATTGCTGTATGAGAAAAAACTTTTAAAAAACAGACGAGACTTTCTGGAGGCAGTTGGATACTGTAGGCTAAATTTTACTGAAAAGCTTGCCTCTATATGACTCCCATAAGGGAAAAACTCAAAATTCACTGAACTGGACTGATAAATGTGAACAGGCCTTCCAGCAGCTCAAGCAGGCCTTGACAGAGGCCCCAGCCCTGGGACTCCCTGACGTTACCAAGCCTTTCATCTTGTTCATAGATAAACTCAGAGACATTGCCAAAGGAGTCCTAACTCAGGACATTGGCCCTTAAAAGAGGCCTATAGCCTACCTCTCCAAAAGACTTAATCCAGTAACAGGAGTATGGCCCCCTGCCTTAAAATACTAGCTACTGTGACAATGTTACTTAAGGAAGCAAAAAAACACGCTTTGGACAAGTGATTTCTGTGGTAACCTCTCACAGTTTAGAGACTCTTATCAAAACCCCTCCTAAAAAAAGGCTCTCCAATGCCAGAATTCTACTGTCAAGCCCTGCTTCTAGACCCAGAGTCAATGATATTCAAGACTTCTTCAGCTTTAAACCCAGCCACCCTTATGCCTGATGATGACCTGGAGAAACAAAGGACACCTCTCCATGAGTGTGCTGACATCCTCAAACTACAGCGGAACCTACAGGCTAAACTTACTGACCAGCTTTTAAAAAATGCCGACAACTGTTCGATAAAAGCAGCTTCATCCAGAACGACAGAGACAGATGAGTGGCCGGGACAACAGTGACCACCAAAAAGGAGGTACTCTGGGTTAAGCGGTTAGAGCCTGACACCTCTGCCCAAAAGGCGGAGCTCATTGCTTTGACTGATGTACTAAAACTAGCCACAAAAAAGAGGGTAAACATCTATACTGATAATAGATATGCTTTTGCTACTATACATATACATAGAGCCATCTATTAAGAGCAAGGTCTCTTAACCTTGGCCAGAGCTAAGATTAAAAAAAAAAAAAAAACTCGATTGGGCTTACCAGCCTCAGAGTTCAAAAAAGATAAGTTAGATTTTAAAGACTATAATTACTAATGGCCTTAAAAACTGGCAAAAACTGGGTGAGTCTCTTTTCCTTCTGCCCCTTTACATGCGTGATACACCCCCTATGTTACAGATATTTCCTCTTTTGAGGTTTTATGTGAGGTTTCTAAAAATTAGCTAATTTAACTAATCAAGATCTTATTAAGTCTCCCCAGACTTTTCAGCTAGCTGTGACTTCCATCCACTGGTTACTTCGCTGCTGCCCACTACAGCTAAAGAGCCTAGACACCTGGACAAGCGACCTCACCGTAAATCTCTTAAGAGCGACCTCACCGTAAATCTCTTAAGCCACAATAGATTGTCAAAATAGCTAAAAGCCTGCCTAGATTCAATGTTCCCAATGCAGACAAGTCCCAACTTCAAAAGACCGTCAGCCTACAAATAAGTAAACTGTCATTTCTTCCAAAGACACTTTAAAGCTTAAGATTGTCTAATATAACTAATAATTTTGTGTTCTCCTCCTTTATAGAGACCCCAAGGAGGCCTCTGTCTGACTTAAAAATTGTTACTTATATGATAAAACAGAGTAAATTTAAATGTTGGTTTTCTTTCTCCTTTTGGTTAACAGCTTTAATGACAGCTACAAGACCTTTGTTAATCCTCCTACTGGGCCTTATGTTGTAAACAAGTTGATAAACTATGTCAAAGTTCTTAAAAGCTTGTGATTTTAAAGACACATACAAGGTTATAAACAGATGCAATAAAAAAGCTAAGAAAAAAAAATTAAATCTCAAGAGCCCCCTTCAAATAAAGCCAAAATGTTCTCTTTCTGGGAATCAATCCTGCCCTATATTCTCCCTTTATTGGGACCCCTGGCCGGATTCATTATAGTCATAACTATAGCCCCTTGCCTCATTAACCGAGTAACCCGGTTTGTGAGGGCCCAGATTTCTCAAGTAAAAGTTATGGTGCTACGTCAACAATATGATCCCTTACCCATACAGGACCTTTAAGATTAAAAGTCATCAAAAAAAAAGGGGGGGAATGTGAGAGTTGACCCCCCTGCTATAACCCCCTCCCTGAGTTATAAAAAGCAGCAAAGAATGTTTCACTCCCTAACTCCCCAGAGCGGGGAATGAAAGGGTTAACTCCCTAACTCCCCAGAGCTATCAGAGCAGAGCAGAAAAAAATGCCTAACTCCCCAGAGCTATCAGAGCAGAGAAAAAAAAAAAAAGAAAAAATGCACCTGCAAGGTTGTTCTGTCTCAACGAGATAAATAAGACAAGTAACTGTTCTGTTCTGGGCACATAGTGACTGGGCTAGGACCCCCAGTCTCCATGGTTACTCAACCCCAAACCCCTCCAATCAACTTCTGCCAAATCCTATGCTGCTCAAAATTAACCAATGCAATCTGCTTCTGTAAACTTGCCTCCTGTTTGCGCCCTTAAAAACCCTACACAATTCCCCCTCGGGGCCCTCCGCACTTGTTTGCCTGGAGGACTCCATGCGCATGGAAATAAACTTTTTTCCCTCACCAAGAGTTGAGTCCTTGGGGTCTCTTTCCCTGCGGCGTCGGCCCTAACATCAATATACAATATAACAACCATTGTCAAATTCCTTTCATCTTATTTTGAAAATCTGTATTGATATTGTTTGGGGTTTTTAATTGTTCTTGTAGTTGTTTGTCTCTTTTGTTGTTTGTTTTTCTTTTCTGTTTTTCTCTTTAAAATAAAAAAAACAAAGTGTTAGCACACGCAAAAAAAAAAAGAATGGAGAACATGAAATGGGTAATGAAAGAAAATATAAATATTATCTACAGCCTAATGCAGTTAAAGATAACTATAGTGACGATAGTTTTTCTTCCTTGCTTTAATGTACAACTATCTATAGGTGAGTGGCTATTTCTTCCCTTTTCAGAGGTGGGGGGGTATGAGTATCTTTGTGAAAGATGGTCACATCTTGTTACACAGGAGGTATCACATTTATTTTTTCTTTGGAAGTTTTAACATCTAAGAGTGTGTGGGGCTGCTGGGCAAGGAAAGGGTGGACTGGGTTGGTTAGAAGCTACTGACTGTCTACCCCGTGCCAGCCTTTCTGACTTTCTGTGCAGGCACTGAGACTAACTGAACTGCTTTTCTGCTTTGCCAGCGGACTCCTTCTGAGGGGCTGCAAGGGATACGGAGACACAGGGGTTGCAGGCCCTTCTGACTGCTTGCCGTTCACACTAGTGTCATGGCATTTCACTTCCAGTTTCATGTTTTTTCGCCTGTACGTCAAGAATCCTCATTGGTGTTCTCTTGGGAGATCCTGCTAGTGCTTCCTCCTCTGTGGTCAGGTCTCCGCTCTGCAGGGCAGCCATTGGAGAACCTAAGGAGCCAGCCCTGGCTGGTAGTGTCCTTCTCTTGCAAGTCTGAGCAGCAGCCCTGCGATCACTAAATTGACTTTCTGGGTTTTCAAGACCCAGTCTCTTGCCCTGGGTGCTTGCCCCTGAAGTGGGGAGCTGCGTCCAGGGACTACTTCTTTCTGGTTTCCCACCTCTCCAAGAGCCAGTTAACCTGAAACTGTGTTCTTTCTGTTTTTCTGACTGGCCCTGATGGCACAAGTGGAGACAAGACAGAGGCCTTCCTCACATGGACCCTATGGTCTGGTATCGGACAGATGGTAAGCAAATCATTAAAGAAATGAGTAATTACAGTTGAAATAATGCCACAAAGTAAAAGCACAAAGCATATCAGTATATTAAAAGCCCCGAGAAGGCTTCAGTAAATAAACTTGTTTTAGCATCACTTAAGGTGACAACTTCTTTGCTCAGTAGACCAAAAACCATGTAAGGCCATTAACATGCAGCAGAATGAGCAGTACCCTGAGTTCATGGAAAAGGGGAAGTCATTGAAGAAACGTAAGCCAGGGCCCTGGCTGTGTGTTTGTCATGTTCCTCCAGCTCCAGGATTCCAACCACAGGACATGTGATTATTCACTTTCCTCCTATGGTGCCCCACAAGACAACTGTCTGATCACCACTGACTGACAAAGTAAATTCCCCTGTGGGGACGGGATGCTGTCCAGAGCAAATGCAACTTTCTAGTCCATTTGGTTTCTTTTTCATTATGAAGCAAAGTTTCTGAATCTGAAACTGATTCTTCAGAGGGATGATTAATCCCTTAAGACCATATGCAAAATTGTGTACATGTGGTCAATACATCGCATGTGTTAATACATGTGTGTGTGTGGGGGGGGCATGTGTAGGCATTTTTCTGGGAAGAGGTTCATAGATTTTGTTACTCCTTAGGATTTTGACTCTGGAAAAGGGAAAGGTTAGGGATCACTGCAGTAGAAAAAAATGTGTATGCCGGGTGTGGTAGCACACACCTGTAATCCTAGCATTTGGGAGGCTGAGGGAGGAGAATTGCCATGAATTCAAGGTCAGCCTGAACTGCATAGTGAGACCCTGTCTCAAAACAACAATAACAACAAAAAGACAAAGATGTTTATGTTCTTATTTGCATGGTCTCACTGTAAATCAGCTCTCCTCAGTTCCATCAACCTTGAGTTCACTCACTAAAGTGAGGTTCTGGCTCCTCCAGCTGGCTGAGGGGCTCACCAGCCTTCATGCTCTGCCTTGGATGCTCTCCTCTAAATGTATCTGTTCTGTTTCCTCTGGCAGGGAACCATTTCCCAGGCCTGTGGTTGATTCCCTTTGATTCTGGTCAGAAAGGTCCAATACTCCCTAAGAGATATTTTATTATTCCTTTCTTCCATGGTTTCCCCAAATACCTCATAGCTGACCTCGGCTTCATCAGCCACCTTACAACTGCTCTGGGAGATATTTGCTTCAGAGCTTTGTAACAGGTAAGACATTTGAAGCAAGTTTCAGTCAGGCCCATCTTAGTTTATCCCAGCCCACAGCCATCCTTAATCAGGTCTTTGAGAAGCCTAAACAGAAAGTCTAATACCACCCATATGCAAGTCCAACTTTTCTTCTATATAAGCACCCCCCCACACACACACACACCTTAATGGATCAGTCCCTGTGTAGGGAGAAGTTGAAGCTGGAGATTGATCACATATGTGGGGCTAAAGCAAGGCCAGACCAGAAAAACAGACCAAAACAAGCTATGTAGACAAGTTGTTCCAGCACCAAGAAGGCAAGGGGCCCAGGCCTGCTAAGCAATGGGTTACTATCAGAGGAGCTGAAATTGACATTATCTTTCCCAGTATATAAATAAAGGTGTTTGGTGGCAGACTGTGGCCCTTCCAAGGGGGAGAACTACCAGCAGCTCCTGAGATCCGCGCCATGTTGGAACTTAGGACACTGGGAAACCAAGCAAGCAGCTCCCCTCCCTGGTAAGTGGTGGCGGTGTGGCAGACTGTGGCCTTTCCAGGGGGAGAACTACCAGTGTCTTCTGAGATCCACCAGTGTCTTCTGAGATCCACACCATGTTGGAACTTATGAAGCTGGGAAACCAAGCAACCAGCCTGCCTCCTTGCTAAGCAATAGTGAATCTACTGGTGCATGGTCTAGAGTCAAACATCCCATTTCCCCTACCCAATTCTCCTGCCCCCCCCCCATTAGCAAATGGGAACCAGAAATCTGAGCATCTCCTGGGAGGTTGACCATGGCAAATAAGGGGGATTTCCTTTTACCATCTCTTTGAAGGCAAATATTTTTATTACTGTTTTGCTCTATTTTGATTAATGGTACTACTGTATTCAATATTCTGTTTTGATAAGTTCTATAATGTTCTGTATTTCATTTTATTTTTGATATACGTGATTAAAAGAACAACTATTATAAAGATAATGAAATATACTGTGATATCTATTACTGTTATCCCGGTAACCTGCTGTGAAGTTCTGTACCAATTTCACTGTACGATCTTAGTTGGCTTTATTCTGTCTTGTTCTGTTGTATTTTACCACTTTCAAAATAAAATTTAAAAAAATAAAGGTGTTACAGTGGTTGAGCAGTTCCTTTCCTCCCATCAGGAGGATAAGGGCTCCACCTGACCCCAGTTTTCTTTGTTTTTTCATCCTCTGGCAGTCCTTAACCCCAAGAACCTCAGGAGCCACATTGGGTCGCAGCACATGGTGTCAGAACACAGATGGGGCCAGAGATTGAGGGCAAGGGGACACTTCTCATGTGCTGGCAACTTAGGAGGAGAAGTGCATTGGTATAAGTCAATAGTCATCACTGGAGTGTATTGATATTGGCTTCATCAGGTATAAAGAGTGGGGCACTGAAACTCCTTTATTCTCTAGAGCCAGTTATAAATGGGCCTAAGACAAAAAAAGAGGTATATTGATTATCTCAGCTGTCTAACTATGGGACAAACTTATCCAAAAAAATCACAAATGTATACGGATCTATTTGTTGTATGCTTGATTCCAGTATTTACATTTCTTCTTGGATCTAGATGAGATAGGATCTTAATAATCTTAAGCTTCTTGAGACAATTACAAGGGAACTGGCTCCAGGCACTGTTTCAGAATCAGGTCCTGTGCAGGGAAAAGATGGCAGCATGACCACCACCCTGATAACCCTAACTGAGCCGCCTACCATTCAGCAAAACCTCCCATGACCTGTCCAAAGTGTAGAGGATGGTGTCATTGGGCCACTCGATGTAAATTCATAACTTCCAGCAGGGCCTGTGGCAGCCCTGCCAAAGAGTAGGGGTGTGGTGGCTCAGAAGGCTCCCCAAGATGGCCTGGCCCTGCTTGGCCAGGCTTGGGCAGGCTCCTAATGGTTGGGGGGTAATACGGTCCTGATTTGTGGTTTGCTGATTCCTGTTTACAAAATGCTTTTACAAAAGATAATTCAAATAACCAATATGACAAAAACTAACCTTTAAAACTTCTAAAAATTCAACATTTGGCTTTCACTAGCTGATAAACAGGCTGGTTCCAGCATATCACTGTCTCACTATGGCTTTGTAGTGGGTCTTAGTAACATAAATTCTCAAACTCCATTGTTTTTTTCAAAATTGTTTACTACAGAGGTACTTGTTTCAAATTTGCAATTAATGTAACTCTAGGATTTTTTAGGTCCCTTCTGCTTTAAGTCAATTTTAGTTGTCAATAGACTGACACTACCCAGCTTGCTAAATTTATTGAGTTTCTGGAGAGAAGAAATTGTAAATTTATATACTTGGGAGGAAATTGAAAAACAGCTTAAAGCAAGACTAGGGAAAAAACAAACCAACCGAAATCAGCTGGCCCTCTACAGATTTTAAAGGGTTATTTAATAAAACTGCTGCGTTCTGCTCCTCTCACTACTTCTCACAGGCCCAGGCAGGGGAGGGCACCAAAGCCTCCACTGAGCCAGACAAGAAAGGTAAAGAAACAGTGTTGCTTGTTTCAGCTGCAAGGAGAAATCAGGGTCATGGTTCAATCTACTCAAAACACATTTCAAATGTCCCTAGATTACCGTGTTTCTCAATTGGTTACTCTTCCCTTGACAAAAATTGGAAAATCTATAAAGAAAGGTTGCCTAAGGATTTTGGATCTTCTGATACTTATTAGAGAGGGACACGGCTCTGGCCTGCCCAAGCCACCCTAGTTTTTCCTATCACCTGTGCACGTGCTTTATGAATTAAAAGTTTACACTGCACTGGTGCTCAGATCCCCAACTACAATGGGGCCTCCAGCCCAGAGCAGGAGCACCACCTGCATGTCACAGGAGAGCCCAAGGTACCTAAATACAGAATACAGTTTCCATTTTCTTTATATATTACCACAAAAATTCTTTATAATCTTTAGGTCTAAAAGTAAGCTAAATGTGCTCACAATTTAAATTTAAAAAAAAAAACAAAAGGGAGAGTTCACCTCATAATAGATTTCACTTTGCAGTATATACCATTTAAAATATTTAAATTCTAATAAAGATGTAACTACCTCAGCAGATAGATAGTGTAATCAAACAAATCAAGTCTGTAAAGAGTCCATTGGAATAATCTTCCTACTGGACAATAAAAGTACCCAGTCAAGTGCTAATGTGGGGTTAGGGTTAGGGTTAGAGTTAGCGTATGCTTCTGTTTTTCCAGGAAAAGCTACATGACCTCTCTGGGTGCCAGTGTGTGCTGTCCAGCTATATCATGGGCCCAAACCCAGGAAACGATTTGATTCCCCCTCTCAAAAAGCTGATGCTCAGTCCTATGACAGTGATGCCTTGGAGACCATGCCACAACCCATAGAAAAGGATGAAGCTAGAACTAACCTTAATTAACCCGAGATACCCAGGAGATGGTAACCAAAAATTAAAAAAGGTCCAAATAGATGATAAAAGTGCATGCTAAGTTCTATGACAAAATATGTTAATTATAGATAAGATTTTGTCTTTTTCAAATTCTTTGATAAGAGATCTCTGCTAATTGACCTACAACAAATGTGACTAGTCTATTTAAAATCACAAATTCTACAATTGTAAAAATTTTGTGTAATTCAATCTGGCTAATATATACTTGAGTACACTCTGATTGTGAAAGATGTTTGTAAATCTGTCTGTGTATCTGTTTGTCCAGTCTGTTAAACTGTTGCTGGGAGTTGCTGAGCTAGTGATCGCTCACAGGTGGAGCCAATAGCACAAGTGCCCATACAGGAGTGTCCAAGTGGGACAGAGTGCCTGAGAAACACCCTCAGGGCCTGAGGTGCTGGTGGTGACAGGTGTTTCAACCTCAAGGACATGGGGTGTAAGTAATGAGCTAGTTCAGCAAAGGGGCGTGAAATAGCCCCCAGGAACTTGGAGAGTCTTGTGGACACCAACAACTCTGCGTTTGTTTCTATGTGTTTGAATCTGTACAGATTGCCCATGTTTGTCCATGTATCCATTTGTGAACAGCTGTTCTTTTTATTTTGAGCTCAGCAATTTTCCTTTTTCTTTTGCATTTATAGATCATTTAATCAAGATTCACCTGAGTTATAGAATTACAAAACATGCTTCTACCTGGGTTCCCACTTGGTCAAAATGATGCTAAAGTCAGTTGTGTAAATGTAATTCACATTGTTGCTTATTATAATTTGAGAGTCTCTCATTGTTCAGAAATATGTTAAATGGGGGCTGGAGAGTTAGCTCAGTGGCATAAGCGCCTGTCTTGCAAGCAGGCAGTCGTGAGTTTGATCCCTGGTACCGATAAAAAAGAAAAAAGACAAAAAAAAAAAGAAATATGTTAAATGTTATGATTGGAGTTTTCTTAAGAAAAAATTATTATAAAAATGATTAAACAAAAACCCCTTGGGATTATTGGATAGGACTTCAATTGATGAATAAGAAAGAGGTCACCTGGTAACATTTTATCAGCTCTTGTTCAATGACTAGAGGCCCTGATGATCTTCATAGCCTTATGAGAGACACCTCAACTAAAGTTATATAAATATTACATTAATATGTTCATATTGGTCATCATTTAAAAGAAATAATGCAAAGGTTTTTGATTTAAAAAATGCCCATACAAGGGTTTTCATATGGTTATGACAAATGATTGTTGTTAACCTTATGGTGTATTCATACATCCATGCCTCCAGAAGTACAGGTCTTTGAAAATGTAAAAACAGATTGTTTATGATAACAAACCTTTGTTTCAGATTCAGACCTCTGCCCCTAACAAATGCTTATGAGATGTATGCCTACTAAAGGTCAACAAGTTAGGTACTGATAGGGATTAGATAGGGATGACTGGCCAAAAGGGAGAAATTCAATGTCAAATGAAAATTTAAGTGAGTTACAAAATGTCATCATGGTTTTATGCTATAACATTGTATATGGTTTGAGTTCTAATTTTCTATGTAAAATATGTAATTGTTTGTTAATATTCTACAGGTATTCAAATGTTAAAACATCCATGGTTGTTAAAAAACAATGGTTCTATTTTATGTTGTAAGATGTTCGATATTTAGATAAGATAATAATGCCTCTAACTAAATTGTTCTGTTATCAATCTTTTCTTCTGGATGTTCAACAACAATTAGAAGTTTGGAGATCAACAATTAGAGAGACAGATGGGCTAAAAGGACAGCCAGCCCTAGCTTTCCAAGGTCAGTGAGGACTCAGGACATAAGAGAACTTCTGCTGTATCATCCTATACTCAGTGAGTCCCTGGTCTTCTGCTCAAGAAGACTGTGAGACCACTGAGGAAAGTGATCATCAATGTGTTGTGTGCCTAAGGAGAGTCTCCAGGAGCAAAAATCTTCCAAGCTTTCACAGAAAGCAACTTGGTCAAGCAATGCCATGGCTCATCTGAACAGCTGACCCTGACAGAATTAAGAGGTGCTATGATGGTCCCAAGGTATTCCTGAAGAGACTTAACTGACCTTGACAGATAACAAAAATTGACTGTGTTTAAAACAGGTCTCACCTTAACTTGGTCTTGAGCATCCTGCAGAAAATGTACAACTACTAGAGATATATAAAACAATGCTAAAGTAATATGTTATAAAAGAATCACATTTATATGTTATAAATCAAATCACTAATGCCTTTTGGCAATTGCCAGCTACACTGGTAGCTGACTACTGTCACAGATTAATGGACTGCACAGGGTTTTAATTGCAGAATCCAGGGACTTAAAATCTTTGGACTGCACTTAAAATAAAAAGATCTACAGAGCTCTCCAGCACAGCTCCTCCAGCTTCAACTGACTACCTGTCCTGTGCAACAACAAAACAAAAAAGAGGGATATTTAGGGAGCCGTTGAAGCTGGAGATTGATCACATATGAGGCTAAAGCAAGGCCAGCCCAGAAAAAACAAGAGACCAAAACAAGCTATGTAAACAAGTTGTTCCAGCACCAAAAAGGCAAGGGGCCCGGGTCTGCCAAGCAATAGGTTGCTAGGCAGAGGAGCTGAAATTAACATAATCTTTTCCAGTATATAAATAAAGGTGTTAAAGTGGCTGAGCAGTTCCTTTCCTCCTATCAGGAGGGTAAGGGCTCCACCTGACCCAACTTTGTCTTTTCTTTATTTTTCTCATCCTCTCGCAGTCCTTAATCCCAAGAACCTCAGGAGCCGCATTGGGTCACAGCATCCCTGCATTCTTCCCCTTTATGATGCAGCATAAATCCTAATAAAGCCTTTTCCTACTGACATATTTTTGCTTATTCATGAGTTCTGTCTCCAGTGCAGCAAGCTGAGCTGGTACACTAAGAGCTGATAATATCAAGATTCCCGGTGCTGAAAGCAGCCAGCAGCTGGGGCTGATGACATGGAGATCAGAAAATGACAGAGAGTAATGGAGAGCCACTGAGAACTTCCATCTCCATCACCAGTCAAGTTCCTGAGGGCTGCTGGTAGCTGCTGGCTCTGGCTACCAAGACAGTGACAGAGGGCTGCTAACACTAAGAGCTGACAGCTACTGGCACTCCAAGTTCAGGCTTTTAACACCAAAAGAACTACCCTGCCTGTTCACGAGTTCTATCCAAAGTGAGTAAAAGAACCCTCAGTTAATTGATGACATTAGATACCAGGTTCTTCTCAAAATCTTCTCTGTTTTGCCAGTTCTAGACTAGGTTCCTCTTCATGGTGCATCCACATTATCACTTCCACCTCTCTGGGATGCCCGTGTCCCTCCCTGAGAAATATGTTTTTCCTTTTGATGGTGCTAATTCCAAGATGTCATCAGCTGTCCTTGTCTTCTGCCTTTCAGAATAGTAGCTCCATGCATAAAGGAGTCCATGTCTATCCTTGCTCTGTTTTACCCCCAACACTAAGCACAGCGTTTAGCATACAGTAGGTATCCACGAAATACTACTTGAATGACCGAATCCAAAATAAATACTTTTGGGGCTGGGGGTTTAGCTCAGCGGCATAAGTGCCTGCCTTGAAAGCAGGCAGTCGTGAGTTCGATCCCTGGTACAGGGTAAAACGAAAAAGACCAAAAAAAAAACAAACAAACAAAAAAAACCAAAATAAATACTTTAGTTCCTTCAGTGCTATACTTAGTGTGCTGTCACACTTAAGTCTCAAGTGTCCTTGACATTACTTTATGACTGTGTATAGATACGCCAAACATGAGAAGTACAACTAGTGAAATTTCCAGATAATCAATCAGTTTTGTCTTTTAGTGAAAGTTTCTTCTATCAAATGCATACATGCATGTGTGCACGTGCCCGCACAGTCTTGCACGTAGTGGAGGGAACAGAGAACGTACTACAGAGTGTTGGCATAAACCTACCTGCGTTTCTCAGAAAGCGATTACTGTAGTCCCTGATGATTCTTGTGATTGGGTTGTAGAAGCCATCTCCACAGTCATAACAGCCTTTGGGGACTTTTCTGGGTGGGTCCATATTGGTGAGTTGACAGATAACTTGAAAGGGCACAATAGATAATTAGTTCACCACTGAGGCCAAGTACAAACCCAGTACCTGCCCCTGTGAGCCCACCCGTGGAAAGCTGGCTGTAGTGTTGGACTAAATGCTCTCTATTCAGGGCACGACGCAAACTCAGGAGAAATAGGCTCCTACAGGTGTTTTATGAAGATGCTTCTGGGAGCAGGGTGTTGGGAACTAGATTTTCCGTTTTTTTCCCTGACCCTATCTTGCTCTATTTCTTGAGACATCATGACACAGGGCATAGGTTTTAGAGTCAAAATGATCTTGAAGGTGAGTCAGAGCTGGCCAAATGAACAGGAGGACAGGTCTAGGAGAGGGGTGGCACTGAAATTATGGACAAAGGACACAGGCACAAAAGCCTAGCCTCACTCAGGAAACTTTGTGAAGCACATGAAGGGAGAACACTAGAACAGAAGTTTCTAGTAGACAATCTTCTCACCAAAATTACCAGTGTGGCTGACATTTACTGAGTGTTTTTTATGCACTCCTGAGAGCAACCATGTGGCTTCATTTTCATTATTCTACTATTATTATTTTTGCCTTTTTGAGACAGGGTGTCACTATGCAGTTCAGGCTGGCCTTGGGCTCACTTTGTAGCCCAGATTGGTCTGGAACTTGCAATGATCCTCCTGATGTGGCTTCATTTTATGGATAAGAAAACTGATGCTTAGAGAAGCTAACTAAGGAGCCCAGTGTTGTGCAGCTAGGAAGCAGCCTGGCTCTGAGACCCATATGCTAAGTGACCACGTGAAGCAGAAAAACAATCCTGGGTATGGCTCCAAGACAGCAACCCTAAGACCACTGGAAGCCTGAAAGGAGTCGTGTGTGTGTGTGTGTGTGTGTGTGTGTGTGTATTGTGGAATGCTATAGCCCGAGTAAAGGGAGATGTTAGAATAAATAACTCCTCAGGTTCCTAGAATCATACATCCTATAATTCTATTCTCTGGACAGACAACTAGATGACCACTGTTACAGTTTAGATTTAAAATGTCCCCCAAAAGTGTCATTTGCAGGTGAGGCCTATTTGAAAGGGGTGAGTCACAGAAGGTGTGACCTGGAAGTGTATATTCTTACCCTTGGCTCCTCCTCCTTCTCTTTGCTTCCTGGTCTCTGGAAGAGCTTTCCTCCACCAGACCCTCCAGACCCTCCAGACCCACCAGACCCTCCTACCATGCCCTTTCTGCCTTGGAGCCAACCAACCATGGAATGAATCCTCTGATTCATTCTGTGAGCGAAAATAAACCTCTCCCAGGTTCTTCCACTGTTTTGATTACTTTTCTCTTGCAGAGACAAAATATCAGACAGCCAAAGTGAAAGAAGAAAATGTTTATCGTAGCTCACAGTTTGTAGAGGTTTCAGTTCATAGTTGGCTGGCTCCAAGGCAGGGTGGCATGGCAGGCAGAGGGGCATCACAGAGGAGAAACAGTTCATGGCAGGTGGAAGGTATCAAATCAGTGAAGAAGCAGCAAGTGACAGCAAAGTCAACAGCAGCCTCTTTCTTTCCCTTATACTCTATCCAGGCTACCCATCCTTAAACCAGCTAGCTCCCACACCCACGGTTGGAACACTCTTAATCCTAGTATTGCACCAAGAATCAATCCAAGCATCCCATCCTTAACCCCAGCATCACACAATCTAGGTAGATCCAGCCATCTCCAAAAAGCTCCAACTATGACTGGATGAGGCTTCGGAGGGATGTCTAAATAAAACCATAACATCCACCATGCTGTTTCTGCCTTGCAGCCAAGCAATCATAGACTGAAACTTCTGAAAACCAAGAACCAAAATAAACTTCTTCTCCTTTAAGATGTGGGTGTTAGATACTGTGTCTTGGGGGATGGAGAAGCTTATACACCCACTGAGTACACCATACCATGCTCACAGCTTATTGTCCTACACACAGTAGGTGCTCTAACGTTGGTTAATGATACACTTAACTGTAACCTTGACCTTAACTGTACCCTTAATCTTATCCTATGCACAATGGGTTTATGATTACAGCACTGAAGACTTCTTCTACACCAATGCTTTACAGCTATTTTCTTGCAGAGGCACCACACTGGAGGAACTAGTTGCTGTGGGAAAGCAGCAGACTTTTTATTCAAGGGCCTTAATTGGTATGACAAGCCCAAGACAAAGTCTAGGACCCATCACTCCCAACCCAGCATCAGGTGCTCAGGAAACGTTTGTTAACGTGGCTTTCAGTCAAGTGTACCTCTCCCTCCAATATGGTGTCAATATTAATTTCCCTGTTTGTTAGGGCTTGCATTTAGACATAGTCCCAAAGCTTCATGTGGTCATAGGTAGAGTTTTTTCAGAGACAGCTGGATCTAGAATGTGTGATGCTGAGATCAAGAGTATGTGATTACTAAATTAGTCTACCACTTTATGTGGAGTATGTGATTTGGCTTAGTTCTAAGAGTGAATAATGAGAAGGCCCCGGGTGTGTGTGCTCCTTGCCCTAAGGGTGGATAACCTGGATATAATATAAGGGACAGAAAGAGGGCTGCCATGGTCACTTATTGCGTGCTTTTGCTATTCCCCTGCTGGCTGCCTCTGCCATGTCACTCTGCCTCAGAGCCAGCCAAATATTATTGACTGAAACCTCCACAAATTGTGAGCCAAAATAAACCTTTCCTCCTTTAACTTTGGGTGCCAGGTATTTTGTCTCAGCAAAGAGAAAAGTAAGGATGACAGTGTTTAATAAGAACTTCTTAGTAAGCACTTTCTATGTGCCAGCAACGGGCTATGCAGTGGGAATACAACCATGGATAAGGCCCAGCCCTGCCCTTGCTCAGAGCTGGCTTGGAAACATGAATGCTCCTGGAAAAGTATGCACTGTGACACACCCGGGGGAGACTTCACTTAGTCTAGCAATTCAGGGAAGAGGATCCTGGAAAAATGGACATAAAGCTGAGACTTGAGGATCGGAAGAAGTTATTTGGGTAAAGTGGGAGCATTAGAGTATTTCAGGCAGAGAAATGGCAGAAAGGATAGTCTACTAGAGGATGAGAGAAGGAGCAAATATGGCAAGAAAGGAAAAAGAAAAGCCAGACTGGGATTCTGGGGCTGAGTTGGGCATGTCAGCAGAAGCAGAGAGCAGTAAGTTGTTTTGCGAATGTGAACCCTCATAGTGAGAGTTTTAGGTGACACTAAAGGAGGTGAATGTGTGGGTGGCCACCAGATTCACTTTTTCTTCAGTACTAGGAATTGAACCCAGGCCTTTTGCACTGAGCTACATCCCCAGCCCTTTCTTTCTTCTCAACTGTGTATTTTGAGAGTCACTGTGTATTTATTAAGTCACTAAGTTGCCCAGGTTGTGCTTGAACTTGCAATCTTTCTGCCTCAGCCTTTCTGGGTGCTGGGATTACAGCTGGGGCACCACCAGGCCAGGCACAGACCTACATTTTAAAAGACGAAAATGATCACAGAATGGAGACTGGTAGGGATCTTGGGAAGTCAGGTAATCAATCAAGAAGTGAGTCAAGGAGGTATGGAACAGGGCAGTGACAGTGCATGAGGCGAATGTTACCTGGCACCTAGAGGCACTCAGGAAATGTCTGCTGAATGAACAAATGAAGGAATACATTTAACAGGCAGAATCTCTAGGGACAGGTGGCAACTACATATGGAGCAAGGGGGAAGGGAGGGCAGGCTTATCTAGGTGGGTAGATGTGATATTTACTATGGTATCAACACTAGGAGAGACTGGGTTGGTAGGATGATAATGAATTCAGTGCAGACAAGATATGGGATGAGCTGTACAGGTGAATGTAGAATCTGAGGCTCATTCTGATTTCAGTTTGAGAGTTGACAATAGTTTAAGACTTATAAGTGAATTAAGTTGTTTAGGGAGAGAGTATAGAATAACAGAAAAAGACCTGATCCAGGGAACTCTGGGAAATTCCAGGATCAAAAGTTGTAGGGTGGAGGAGAAAGAGGAGATGTTGGCAGGAGGAGGTACAGGTTCTCAGGGCTGCCTGACTCTGGTGCTTTCTGGAAGTTTCTGACTTAATGGAGGCGGACTTGTCCAAGCTCATCCATTGTTAAGAGGGGACATTAGGACTCCAACCCGGATCTTCCAGCGTCATGTTCTGTCAACTACACAGGGATTGTCTTTACAATTTAAAAGTCATTTTGCCATTTGTCATCTCTGACATACTGTCTCTGCTATACCCAAGGCAATGTTCTTCTTGGGGTTCACTGAACCTAGTATTAGTCTTAGAAATACAGAGAACCGCTTAAGCTGCCATTCTCTGAAGCCAGACTCAAAGCTTGGCTCAAATGTCACCCTATGGGATGGAACGTGGCTTTGCAGAGGGAAGGCATGATCAAGGGGGGTATCAGAGAGAGTCTTGGGCTCCTAGGTGAGCTTTGCCACTGGAAACATGTTGGGAATCCAAGGCCTCAAATTGTTCCTCTATGACATGGGACAGGGAAGAGGACAAGGCCAGGGTCTCTGGAGAGTTAGGGACACAGGGATTACAGAGGCTCAGCTAGCACCCTGTCTACGGGACACATGTTATGCCAGTGCTGCTCTCTGCCCACCTCTCTTTTAAAATATGTACCTATCTTTAGGGTTAGAGTAGGTACCATAAATAAGAACAGATGGCAGGTACACACAAGGTACTCTTCTGAGCCCTTTATGGGAATTATCTTTTTGACCACAATCTTTTGAGGTAGATGTTGCTATTAGTCTCATTTTGGAGAGAGAAATTGAGGCATTGCTAGCAGTCCCCTGGCCAGCCCAGGGAAGCTGAGATTTAAGAACTGACCTTTATGGCTCCAGGATCTGGCTCTTTTGCATTCTGAAGCTGTTTGGTTTCTCTCCTTCAAGGTGCTCAAGTGGGCCATAGGCACTCACTTAAAGTTGCATTTAGTTTTCCTCCAAGTCTGGGTGTGGAGGAAGAGGAAGGGGCCTGAATACCTGAAGGCCTCAAGCCATAGCAGATCTCGGTGTAAAATCTCCGGTCATAGCCGTCGCAGTAATGCCAGTGTTCCGCATCGTACTGCAGCCCATCTGAGAACGTATAGGTGCCCTGGGACACAAAAGCACACACGCATTTGAGGAGTTGAAACTTCTTATTGCCACAGATAAGAAACAATGACTCTCATAACTATTATGGTTGCGAGGATTAGCCGAATAGAGATAAAGAACTGAATTCTGCGCCTGCCACTTGGAGTAAGGTAACTCTCAACATGAACTTGAGCAGATGAGCTCCTCTCTTGGCTCTGGGCTTCAATATTTGTAAAAGTAGGATAATTCTGCCATAGAGTTAATGGAGGGGGTTGAGAAATTAGTGAGATGGTACCTGTAAAGCATTTAGCATAGTGCCTGATGGTGGAAGCTGACTGTGTGTCACCTTGACCAGGCTAAAGGAGGCAGATTGAGGAAAACTGATCCTTCCCAATGCAAGTGGGAAGGCCTGGATAGAAGAATATGTGTGCAATATAGATTTCTCTACTACTAATCTCTGAGTTCATTCAAAAGAACAGTTTGTGCTGTCACTGTTTGATGGTGAGATCATTTTTTAGGCCTAGACCTTGTAACCTGAACAACTACTTGTAAGATACCAATATGCAATATGTTACCTAGTGTTGATTTCTTACTGGTTTTTTTGTTGTTGAAATTTTGTATTTTTTTCTATCCCTTTTTCTGTTTTGCTTTTTAAAACAAAACAAAAACAAACAAACAAACAAAAAACAGGCAGAGGAAAGATCAATTTGCTTTCTGGTAGAGCTGGGACGTCCACTTACTCCTGCTCTTAGGCATCAGCACTCATTGGCCTTGGGCCAATTCACTCTGGGCCCATTCTTGGGCCTTTTCACTCTGACTGGGACTTATATAACTGACTCCCCTTGTTTTTCAGCCTTCAAGTTTGAAATAGATCCACAGCTCTGATTTTCTTGGGTCTTCAACTTGCACATTTTTTTTTTTAATTTTAAAGAGGATAAAACCAAGGAAAATAAAACAAATCAAAACAAACCAGTGTAAGTGATGCAGGACTTCAGAACAATATGAAATCAACAATAGTTACCATAATGTCTCTTGTCTTCAAAATAGCTGCAGCTACCTTCAGACATAGTAAAATCAGAACAGAATAGAACCAATGAAAACAAAACAATGAATGCAATAAAGGACTTCAAAGCAAGGTAATAGTAAATCCAAAATGGCTACCATAATATATCTTGCTACCTTGGAAATAGTTGCTCATGCCATCAGGTATAACAAAATCAAACAAAACAGAACAAAATACAACCCTACAAAACATTGAAAATGATACAGGACTTCAAAGCAAAATAGGGAATTAACAATGACTACCACCTTCAGGAGATTCCCCTTAGATGCCACACTGTGTACTGCTATCCTCTGAACAGATGGTCAGACCACTGGCCTTAGACCTGCAAGGTCAGTGAAACATCAAACACCACAAGCATCAAAATGCATATTACCTCAATAGCTATTGTCACAGCCTGTGTTTCTCTGGATCAGCTGGTCACTTATCGGGGGATTGGAGGACTGGCTCTTCTTGTTTGCTAGCCTGCACCCTGGGAGGGGCTGGGGACTAGCTGTCACCCCAATGGTGGTGGCCTGTGCATCGTGCTGGTTCACAGGCAGGGCTTGCTTCTTGGTGAATCCTTGCCCCCCCCCCCCACAGTCTGTGAATGGTGCTGACTCTTGGGGAAAGGCTTGGATCTGGCTGTTGCCTTCCCGTTACCCTCCATCAGAGGTCTGTGCATTTAGCTGGTTCGCAGGGAGGGTTCGCTTCTTGGTGCATCTTTGTTTTCTCAGAGGACATATTGTAGAGCAGCCTCCATAATCTCATAAGCCAATACTTCTTAATAAATCTATCTATCTGTCTGTCAGTCTATCTATTTATCTGTCTGTCTGTCTCTATCTTCTTTTGGTCCTGTTTTCCTGAAGAAGTCTAATCATAGACACTCATAAATGTTAAATTAATATTATTCTTTTATTATGATTATACTTAGAAAGGTCAGAGCCATCAAGCATGGCCCTTTGTCCCAAACACATGCATTCTGCTTTTGCTACCTCAGTGCTAAAGGGAGCCTCAGGATGTAGAAACGATGTTGGCCTAGGCATCAGAAAACAGGGGTTGGAAATTCCCACAATAGTATTAATTCACTGTGTGACCTTGGGTAAGTCACATCCCCTTCCTGGGGCTTAGATTGTCCAAGCTATAAAACAAGAAGTATTTTTAAAACCTTTTTATTTTTGATTACGAGTCAGGCCCTAACATACCCTTAATGAGACTGATAAAGCATATAGATATTATTCCCAAGAGAATAACAGTCCCATATACATAGAAACTTTGTATAAAAATTAAATTTCACTGATCCTTGACATCTATTCTTGGTCCACAAATCCCAGGGTTGGGATCTTTGAATTAGGAAATTTATAATGATCGTAGCAGAGGTAGCGGTAGTAATAGTTAAGAGCTAACACTTACTGAGTACCTACTGCATGTCAGGAACTTGGCCAAGTACTTGCATATTTTATCTGATTTACTTCTACAGCCCTCCTGGTAGACACCTTTTACTATTGTGGCAGACTGAACATTAGTCTCCCAAATACGTCCACATCTCTGAGTCTTAATATGTTACCTTGGATGGCAAAAGAGACTTTGCAGATGCAATGAAATGAAGGATCCTGCAATGTGGGAAATTACCCTGGATTACCTGGGCGTGCCCAAGGTAATCATAAGGTCCTTATAAGAGGGAAGCAGCAAGCTCCGGGTGAAAGGAGACGAGATGATGACAAAAGCAGAGAGAGGAAAGGTATGCAGTGCCGGAAGCAGAGGTCAGAGTGATGCATGGTCAGGAGCCAAGGAATGCAGGCAGCTTCCACAAGCTAGAAAAGGTGAGGAAACAGATCCCTCCCTAGAGCCCCCATGAGGAATGTGGTCCTGATGACCTAGTTTAAACTTCTGACCCTAATCTCAGAGAGGCAAAATCATATGGACCCTGGATCAGACAAGAAGTGGCATAACAGGACTGAAACTCATCACAGCCTCTCCAAGGGCCCTTCCAAATCAAGAGAGAGGAGATTCTAGAGCTGTGGGAGGTCAAGAAGCAGAGAAGAGAGAAAATGGGAGGAGTGGGCATCAGGCAGGGAGGACAGGACACCGTGGCAATGGGTATGTGTGTGTGGGGCTCTTCCTGCTCAAGGACCTCCCCTCTGCAGACCCTGGCTGTTTACCTTTACAGCCAGTCCCTTCTCCCAGATGGCGTCGTAGCGGCTCCCGCTGGGGAAGTACAGGGTTCCTTTGCCGTGAAACATGCCGTCCTTCATCTCTCCGACATACCTTGTTTCAGTAGGGAGGATGTATTCGGCGTCACCCTCCATCCTGCAAGGACATGGAAAAGTCCTGAGACCTATGTGACACTTAGAGGGGAGGGGAGGGGTGGGGACTTCATCCCCAGCTAGCCTCAGACATTATTTTGTCCTCCTAATAAAACATACCATTTCCCTCAAAATCTCAACAATGTTGTTCAAGAGCAGGGCACAGTTTTATCAGTTTACCCTCTCTGAAATATCTGCCTGCTAGGCCCAGAGAGAGCAGGGATGTACTCAAGGCCACACTGTCGGGTTACCAGCCCCACCCCCACCCAGGAACAGGAGGACTATTTGAAGTAGGAAACTTAGAGGCAGGAGATATGAGTTTGAATCTTACTTCACCATTTTCTAGATGTATAATCTTGGCCATGTCTCCAGACTTCCTTCCTTATCCTTCCTTCCTTCCTTCCTTCCTTCCTTCCTTCCTTCCTTCCTTCCTTCCTCCCTCCCTTCCCTTAGGTCCTTTTTCCCTATAGTTAAGTACAGAGCACCTGCTATGAGCCAGGTGCTGTGCTGAGCTGGGCCTGCTGGACCTGATGCAGACACAAGAGTGCTGGGGGCAGAGGCAGTCTCATGGCAGGAGGCTCACAGCTGAGAGGGAGACATGTTGGGTGAGTGCTCTGCAGGAAGAGATGGGCCTGCCCAGGAGCACGAGTCCATGGGTCCAGACTGATAATTTTTAAACAAGAATTTATATAATGTATATGTTATACTTAGAGATGCTTAAATAGTGAGCAGTCCAAACAATGTCACAAATTTCTTCAGTGCTCAAATGTTAATAGAAAATAATAGTTCCATTTAATGTTCTATGTTAAGCTTACTGTCTCTACTGCACAATACTGTTATCAATCTTCTGGATGGTCAACAACTAAAATTAAGAGATAATTATAAATCCTTTTGGATTCCTTTTGCTGGGATCCACCAAATCTTTTCCAAAAAAAAAGTTATATGATGCATATTGGGGCCATAATTAACTGTACTCAATTGGCTTAAATGACATTGCAGCTGATCTCTCTCCTAAATAAAAAGGTAAAACTAACAAAACAGGCCATCCTCCAAAAATCAGATGGCATTAGACATTCTAACAGCCTAAGAGATACTTATACAATTATAAAACCTGAATATGTGTATGATGAATGACATGTCAGCTTCTAAAATTCCCTGGACCTTATCCTTATCCTCCTTATGGGAAGCCATTACTAAAGTTATAATCATAAATACCCTATTGATTCTATTATTTGACTCCTGCATACTGAATTGATTCTTTGCCTTTGTCTCCTTTAGACTCAAAGCTATATACCTACCCAAGTTAAAAGCCAGATGTTTTGGGACTGTGGATCCCAAGACAAAAGGCTAAACTTGGCCCTCAAACCCCACAGGGAGACCTTCTTAATATGGTTTTTTGTGTTTTCAACAACAGAGATAAAAATCAAAAGGAAAAATAACAATTTGATCTCATAGCAGTGACACTTGGAGCTCTGAGACAGGTAAACCGAGACAAGGTGGAGCTGCCTGAGCCCCCCTTGGACCATGCTTCAAGTGCAACAAAGGAGGACACTGGGCAAGAGTGTGCCCCAACCCCTGTGTTCTTCTGGGGCCTTGCCCCTTATTGCAATCTCAAGGGCCATTGAAGAGTGGCTGTCCTAGCTGCCAGAGGGCAGGTAAGCCGTCCTCTAACTCCTTGCCCTCATAGGAGATCTCATCACCACCAGATTCATCACTGACTGATCTACTCAGACCTGCTGCTGAAGATTGATGGGGCTTGGGGCCCACAGCCCCCCATTAGGGTGTCCTTCTCAGAGCCCCAAGTCCCACTGGAGGTCTCAGGTAGGACATTCTCTGTACTTATGGACATAGAGACCATATATAGTGTTCTTCCTGAGTTTTCAGGCTGTTATATTAAGTCCTCAGTCTCTATAGTGTGTGCTGACAGCCAACCTATGCAGCATTTGCAGACAGGGCCTATTCCATGCAGGTTCCAGACTCCCTTCTTCTCTGGTCGACCCCATAGTTTGAGATACCTCCAATCCCACCTGCCCTACCTATGCCATACCTATTTTAATTTGTCTCAGGGATCTTTCAATTTTTCCTTGTGTTCACCCATATCCCATAGCTCCAAAACATTTACAGGGACTTACACCTAATAATTAAGTGCCTTTTAGACAATGGTTTTCTTTTTTCTTTTTTTTTTTTTTTTTGTCTTTTTCCTTTTTATCGGTACCGGGGATCGAACTCACGACTGCCTGCTTTCAAGGCAGGCGCTTATGCCGCTGAGCTAAACCCCCAGCCCCTACAATGGTTTTCTTAAACCTACCCATTCACCCTATAATACTTCCATTCTCCTGGTACTCAAGCCTGATAGGTCTTATTGTCTAGTACAGGACCTTAGGGTAATCAATGGTGCTGTTACCCCAATCCACCCAGTGGTGCCAAATTCTTATGCCATGCTCTCTCATATCCCTCCCTCCACCACTCACTTTATAGTTATAGATCTTAAAGATGCCTTTTTCACCATCTGCCTACACCCTGATTGTCAGGATTTCTTTGTGTTTACACGGAGTGATCCAGATGCTCTCACATCTCAACAACTTACTTGAATGGTGCTCCCCCAAGGGTTCAGGGATAGTCCTCACTTATTTAGCCAAGTTCTTGCTGCTGACCTTGCAGAACTCGATCTCACACCTAGCACTCTCCTTCAATACACAGATGAACTTCTCTTATGTTCTCCATCCCATATGTTAGCCATACAGCATTCAGCTAGTCTCCTTAATTTTCTTGCCAATCTCTTGCAAAAGCCCAAATAGCTTCCCCAAAAGTCAGATATCTAGCTCTACATCATCACTGATTTACATAACTATTTCCATATAGGATCACAGGCTCTATACAGACTCTTAACCCCAGTAGTTACACATCCTCCTCTAAAGGACCTCTCCCCAGGGACATATAGCACCCCCTTCCTTTCCTACTCATCAATTTCGCAGACACACCCCTGTTTAGGACTGGCAGATAGATTTTACACACATGCCCTGCCATGAAACTCTCAAATATCTTCTCACCTTTGTTTGTACTTTTTCAGGATGGAAACCGCTGATGTAGTTACTAAAGTCCTGTTACAGGAAATCATCCCAAGGTTTGGTCTACCTCAGAGTATTCAGTCAGATAATGGTCCAGCCTTTATTTTTCAGATCACTCAACAGGACTACAACCAAAGTGGAACGGTCCCTACCTAGTCTTCTTGGCAACCCCAACAGTGGTCAAAGTTGCTGGACTGCCATCCTGGTTTCCCATCACTCAAGCTAAGCAGTGCCCTCCCAACCCTGAATCTAACCATCCTGAGTGGTATCTCATCTTCTATTGCCCACCCGTCTCCATTTTACCAGGGCCTCACAGCCGCAACTCTCAGGCTAAGTGATGTTTTGCTATCCAATTTGGTTCCTAATTCCTTACATTCTATTAATTATCTTTTTTACAGCAGGACTCTTTCTGTCTTTCCTAAAGATTCCCGCATTATGAGTAAAATCGTCTTCATGTTGTTATACGTGACAACTGTCTTAGTTCTCTCTACCCTCAGCTTTTTAGTCAAACGTGAGATCCCTGAAGGCTTAGGCTCTTATCTCCCTTATAGTGACCCTCCTCTTTTCTACTCTGTAATATCCAAATATGATTCAATCAGGCCTTATATTTCTCATGCCTTTTATTCTTTCCAGCTCAACTCCTGGACCAGAGACAAGCCCTACCTACTTACCCTTCTAACTTTTACCCTTTAAGATGGAGGAATAATTATCTCTCATAACTTCACTCCTCCTAACCCCACACTTATTTTTCAGAATTCTACCTCACTGTGGTCCTGATTCTACCTCACTGTGGTCCTGATGGAACAGCATATTTAAATCAAAGGCACCTTTCCTTCTACCTCACCTGGGTCCTTAAATATAACCCAGGCACTCCTCCTCACAGCACCTTATCTCTTTGTCTTTCCAGTCTAAGATGAGGGCATTCACCAATGATAAAGTTGTCCTGGTGGAAACACCTGGTACCAACTTCTACATGGGCATCACCCATCATCCTGTCAACCTTCCTGAATCCCAATACGGTGCCCCCTTTCAGCAGGAAATAGTAAGAGAGAGACTTTGCCCTCTTCCTAACAATAAAAAGACGGGAATGAAAGGTTCTTGCCCTAGAATAAATTACTGCACAGTTATGGCAGTGGTCTAATGTGGCTGCTTCTTCCTCAGCCTTAATTGTAATTTCCCTTCCTGAAACCTCCAATCAGTTCCTCGTGCCTCATCAATGCCCGCCCTAAGCAGCCCCCCCCCATCATATGTTATATGTAGATCCCATACCCCACATTCAGGCAGAGAAAGCCAGGCCCCGGCAGTCATGGAGTTCTCTCCACGTCCTTGGAGTAAAGGCTATTTTTACTTTATATTCTCTTTTATCGTGCCAAAAACTTTCACAGACTCCAGCTGGACTACTGGTGGCTTTCCATGGGTGCAACGGCTGAGGTGAATCTGAGATCAACCCTGCTGACAGATGGCGGCTCCCTAGAAAGGGCTGCTATTCAGCAAGTGCTTGAGAACTGTGCTTTTGTTCATTTCCTTACTCCTTCAGTCCCTCCACAGGCTAAAGCCACTTCTAACTCTGACCTTCTCCAGCTCTCTGCTAGCTCTGCTGTGGGAGCCTTGGCACTTTCTGCCCTGCATCATGACTGCATGACCCATTGCCTGTCTGGAATCAGCCCCTTTTAACCGGAACACCCACCCAGGGCTCCTCAGCGTTTAGGACCATTCTTCTCTTCCTCCTTCATTTCCTTCTGCTTCTCCTTCTCTCTTCTCGTCCTCCTCCTTTTCCTCCTTTTTTTTGGTGGGGGGATTGAACTCATGACCTCAGGTTTGCCAGGCTGGCACTTAGGCCACTGAGCTAAATTCCCAGTCTCCTCCTCCTTCCTCTCTCTGCTAGTACTGAGAATTAAACCCACTTCACACTGAGCTACCTGCCCAGCCCCTTTTT